GGCGTGGCTTGGGGTAAAGGGGCGTGGCTTGGGGAAAAGGGAGGGGTTGTAAAGGGGGCGGAGCTTTGGGCAAATGGGCGGGGCTTGTGGAAAGTGGCGGGGTTGGGGTAAATGGGCGGGGCTTGGGGTAAAAGGGGTGTCGCTTGGGGCGGAGGGGCGGGGCTTGGGGTAAATGGGCGGGGCTTGGTGTAAGAGGGCGGGGCTCCGGGTAAAGGGGAGGGGCTTGAGGTAAAGGGGGCGGAGCTTGGGGTAAAGGGGAGGGGGTTTGATGTAAAGGAGGCGGCGCTTTGGGCAAATGGGCGGGGGTTGTGGAAAGGGGCGGGGTTGGGATAAAGGGGGTGGGGCTTGGGGTAAAGGGGTGTGGTTTAGTGTAAAAAGGCGGGGCTTGTTGTAAAAGGGGTGTGGCTTGGTGTAAAGGGGCGGGGCTTCAGAAAAGGAGGCGGAGCTTGGGGTTAAATGGGCGTGGCTTGGTGTTAAAAGGGCGTGGCTTGGGGTAAAGGGGGTGTCGCTTGGGGCGGAGGGGCAGGTGTGGTTTAGTGTAAAAAGGCGGGGCTTGTAGTAAAAGGGGTGTGGCTTGGTGTAAAGGGGCGGGGCTTGGGTAAAGGGGCGGGGCTTGGGTAAAGGGGCGGGGCCAAATGATTGGCAGTAATGGAGGGAGGGGAGGGGCTTGGAGGGGTTTAATGCGGGTGGGAGGGGCCAGCGCAGGGGCGTGGCCAACAGGAAAGGGGCGTGGTTTGTTAGAAGGGGCGTGGCCAACAGAAAAGGGGCGTGGTTTGTTAGAAGGGGCGTGGCCAACAGAAAAGGGGCGTGACCAACAGAAAAGGGGCGTGTCCAACAGAAAAGGGGCGTGGTTTGTTAGAAGGGGCGTGGCCAACAGAAAAGGGGCGTGGCCAACATAAAGGGGTGGGGCTTAGTGGGGCGTGGCCACCCACCTTGGCCCCGCCCTCCTTGTCGCCCTCCTCGGCCTTGGGCGCCGTGTCCGGCCCCGCCTCCTCCTGCTCTGGCCCCGCCCCCGGCGCGGGCTCCGCCCCCGGCTCCGCCCCCTCGGCCTGCGGGGAAGGGGGAGTCAAAGGGGACCCCAAAAACCACCCCCAGAATTACCCCACAGGGGGTTAATATGTGGTGAGC